TCTCTCTCTCTCTCTCTCTCTCTCTCTCTCTCTCTCTCTCTCTCTCTGTCTCTCTCTGTCTCTCTCTGTCTCTCTCTCTCTCTCTCGCTCGCTCTCTGTCTCTCTCTCGCTCTCTCTCTTTCAGACAATGGATACCTCCCGTCTTCTCCTCCTCATCTTCACGGTGATGACTACATCTGAATGTGCAGGTAGGGCATGCATGATGATGGAGAGGAGTGCATTAATGGATCTGTTATCTGATCCCCATGGACCCACAGGTCCAGGCTACACCCTCATAGTGCTGACGCTGCACATGTAGAGGAAGCTCCCTCTCAAATGGACCACTGAAACTTACATTGATGGAGTGTAGTGGCACGAATGCACTACATTCATGAAGAGATCTATATTTATATGTAGTTCTATAACAGTCACTATATTCAGAGTATAATGGACTTTATCCTGTCTGTATCAAGCCGTTGTTATTCTCACCAAATCAACAATCATTTTTTACATAATAACTGTTTGCTTTTTGTGTGTAATGTATATGCCATGTAGTCTGCAATGTAAATGCATGTTTCCATACTTACTCTAAACCCAACCGTTGTGTATTTCATAAATAAAACTGTGTGCTTTTGTTGCTGTTGGTGTTCAATAAGACGCGATAATATCTGACATGTCGTGCTATTTAAATTCCTCCCAGTGAGATCAGATTGTTTAAAATACAGAGAAAGTCAAAAAAGCTGATTAAAGGTAGTATTTTGACCTGTTTTACTGTAGTTTTGTTATGTAACAAGTATAAGTATTTTACGTAACATTATTTTAACCAAACCGAGTAGGTTTGTTGCGTAAGTAAACCTAAAAACTGAATAAAAGTATGTTTATTTTAAAAAGACACTATGCATGTAACAAGCATAAATGCACAGTACCTGTGTGTGTGTGTGTGTGCGTTTAACAAGGTTTTAATCTATCTTCCATAAGAACTGATGCAAAAGTCTGTTTAAAAAGAGTAAAAATCTTTTCTCTTTGCATCTGATTCTATCGTTTTGTTGTTGTTCTACACTGCAGCATTTCAAGCCTGTAATACTTTCAGGCTCTGTCTACCTGCACATTTACATAACCATGAATAAACACCATGCCGTTTACTGTCATCTTCATCACCATTATCTCTGTCATCTGCTCCCCACATGTTCAGAGTCAGCCGAGCGCCGATGTTTCAACAGTACCCCGGAGTCGTACAACCTTAGTGAAGGGGAGGCGTTTTACTTTGTGCCCTATGATGTGGAGAATCTGGATGAAAAGTTCACCTGGTTCAGAAATAATAACGACAATGAGATTGAGAATATCACCAGCGACGAGAATGAGGACGTACATCACCACGGTGGAGCGCTCTTCCTCTTGAACCCCCTCCTTACGGACTCTGGCTCTTACACCGCTCGGTCAGGATACTTTCTCTGAAATACATTCTCCTCACTGAGATGATCTGTTGATACGATCTCTGATTGTAATCACTTCTTTTTTTCCAGGGAAGACAGCTCATCAGGAGAGTGTTACAACCATTATGTAACCTTTAGGGTTTTCAAAAAAAGCCATAAGTTTGACAACAAACTCCTCTATGAAAAAATAAAGAACTCTGACGAGAGCAAGAAGGTCCCATGTCCATCCCCGATCGGCCACTTTTGTGAAATGTTGAATGGAAACTTCAGCTGGAACAAGGTACGAGTGATTACAGTCACACTGGTGTGATGGTGGTCAGGTTTAAACCTGGAAACTTAAGTATTGTGATTTAGTTTAACAGAAATTAACTTGTTAAATTAAGCAGCCCAGTGTCATGGCAGTTTGTGAAAAAGTCACGAAATGCAATCTATTGGTTTTGTTTTTTGTGGACCAAGTCCTTCTTATGTCCTGTTTCCAAATTCCTTCCATGTGACTTTATTTGATTCCTTCTTTATTTCCCTCTTCAAATTACCGCACGTTTGCGGCCCCTCCTGCAGGACTCCGAACCCCTTGAAGGCCAACACGAAAAAGACCTGTGGATCAAAAATGCTACCAGGGCTCACGAGGGCATCTACACGTGCATTTGTACCTGGACGCACAACGGAATGGAGTACACCTCGTCGGCCTCCAGGAGGCTGAAACATTTAGGTGAGCGAGCATTTTCTGTTTTTTATATACTATTACTGATGATTTACATCATCTAAGTGTTTCCTGATGGATTTTCATCCCACTGTGGCGACTAAATCTTCCACCTATACAGAACGCTAACATAATACAGAACAACAAGGTGAACGTGCAGGAGTTTAAAAAGTTTCATTGTGATGGCCAATATGTTAATTGACAGCAGTATATATTCTCCAAACATACACACAAGTAGAATCTGATGACTGAGCCACACATTTAGCTTTAGTGCTGTTGCACATTTTCATTTTCTCACAATAGGCTAAACCGTTAGCATAGAGTCCCCTGTTAGCATAGAGTCCCCTGTTAGCATAGTTAGCAGGAAGATCTCAAATGACTGCAGCACCCTTATAAAGGTAAATGTAAACTTACTGGCTTAGTGGTAAACATGCTCAAAACTAAATTTCCAAGTATACTGCACAGTCATCAACAAAGAATCTTTTGGCTAATAAGTTTGGTTGATGCTACAAAGTTGATACAATCAACATTTGTCAACGGTGACCATCCCAAAATGAATATCTGATCTGTTTCTTTTTACGTATGCACTGTTCAATTAGAGGTAAGAATATCCATCTGACTTGTTGGTTGTAAAAAGTGAATTAAATGTATCGCTGACTGTAATTTATTTGAATTTTAATTGCTGAACCTCACGTCCTCCATTTGCAACACCCTGCGAGTTAAGAAAAGGCAATGTGGAAAAACTCTGTGTGATTCATCGCTGAGAGCAAGAAATCCATGAAGACGATCTTTCCATCTCTGCAGATCTTTCCATCTCTGCAGATCTTTCCATCTCTGTATGTGTGTGTACTCTCTAAGTACACACACATACATAATACATATAAACTTGTTTAAACCACTGCTGCCATATCACAAGACATGCGCTGCTCACCTCAACATGTAGTTGAAGGGCTACACCAAACTGTTTTGTTTAAATTGGGGGGCTTTCTGGAGCCATATAGAGACCTGAGGGGTCAACTGAACTTCATGTATAAAATCAGTGGAGTGCCTCTTTCATATTGTACCTCTGAAATATTGTATTACATATTTAAATGTACTGCACAAACTCATACGACTGCTGCAAACACAAATCACGCTGGAATTTGCACTACAATTTGCATCTGTTGCCTAATTAAACTGTACTTTATATACGTTTTACGCGTTTTATTTATTTTAATATTTTTGGTAAGTCATCCCCACCTTTCTTTTTTTGAACTAGTTTAGTGTGTATAGATGGAAATCTAAGGAGACCGCAGAACTGAACGTTCAGTCTGGTGCTGGTTTGAACTGTCACGTTCAGTTTACTACAAAACAAGGCTTAACAAGTTGTTTATCGAGTTAAAAGCTCAGCAGTCGGTTATGAACGACGGTCACCACGTGATGAACTCAGTCGCCACTGAACAGGAGCTCCACTGCTAAAAGCTACTGATTTTGTTCAGTGATAAATTCTAGAGGCCCTGTAGTCACTTCAGTTTGAAGGTTCGCAGTCAAAGATCCACTAGTGCATGCACTGGCAGTCCATACATAACGTAAGAAAGTCAGTTATGGTTACTCTGTTCGATAAAGTTGTGACTTCATGTTGTTTCGTCACATTGTTGCGTTACGTTGTTGCGTTACGTTGTTGCATTACGTTGTTGCGTTACGTTGTTGCGTTACGTTGTTGCGTTACGTGGTTGGGTTACGTGGTTGCGTTGCGTGGTTGCGTTGCGTTTATGTTGTTTTGTTATCATTTTTAGACAAACCGCCTTTTGTTGCCTAAACCTAACCACTTATTTGGCATTGTGCATTTCTGCAAGCGTGATACAAGGCTGATATGACACATATTCATAAAACATTTCTTGGATCAGAAAGGTCGAAAGTCAAAGTAATCAGTTGAAGAAACGTACAATGCCAACATTTTTCAGGACCGGTTGGTACACAATACAACCAATGTGGTCATTTAAAATGGTTTTCAGTAGAACTTAGTTTGGACTTCAGGAATAACTAACTCATCATTTACTGAATTTCTTTTTTTTTACACTCAGGGACGAATCCACAAAGATTGGATTCCAGTTTAAGGATTCAGTGTTGAAGATTGCTTGTTCACGTCCAACACGAAGAATGAACATGAATCCATTTCTTGCCTGCTACACATTTCACTGCAACGTGTAGTCTGTGTGGATTTTACAACAAACGACCAATGTTCTCTACAAAGTAAACTCTAGTGTTGGAAAAACAGCCTGCATGCAACATTTCACAAACAACAGCTGATCAAATCTCATTGCTGGGTCTTGTTTTCGCAGAACCAAGTGTTCACCGAGACGTAGAGATCATCTCTCCAGCCAGCAAGGAGCAGTTAGCTGAGGAAGGTAGGAAAGCAAGAAACCACAGCCCCTGTATCGACTGAAACACTTACACCTTACCTACGACTTATTGATTGTTGTAGTTGTGTTGCTTTTCAGTCAATCGGTTGAATTGTGCTGTATTTTTGTTGAATCGAAGAAGAATTGTTGCTACTTGATTAACTAGCCAATAGAGATCCTTTAAGAGTTAAGAAACTTGATAATTACAGAGAGGTACATACCTGGACTGTAGTCATCTGTAAATCTTTCCATGGGACTGAAATCTTACTGTATATTATACAATAAATATTGGAGTATATATATTTATCTGCAGACAGAACGTGCGTAGCAACAACTTAAGATGAGATAATAAAATGTACATAAGACCTTGTGTAACCTCGTAGTCTGATATAAAAATGATTTTGGTGATTTGCAGTTGAAAAGGTGTCTAGATTAAAAAACAACAGTTGATTTAATTTTTAGTCTTTATTTCAACATAAACATTGAAATGTTGTATAATACCTTAAGGTTATACGCATAAAGATTTGGAAAACTCACTTCTGAATTGGTCCAGTTAATAAAAATAATCTTGCTTTTCAATCCTGCTCACCCAGAAATATGAATTTGTAAAATAACAACGTGATCTTTCCACCAGGCGTTGGGATCAAGCTGAGCTGCTCCGTTTTCTGTGGGACTGATGTGGAAGCTAACTGCCAAGCTAGCTGGCACATTGACGGCGTTTCTCCCGACCAGGTCGCTGGATACAATGAAAACATGAAACCGTGAGCATCACTAAAAACACAACTAAATAAATGACTCAACATACATAATGTGACCTCTATCACTTGTACATTCTATCTATAATAATAATAATATCTATTTATCTAGTCAGCAGGTAATGTTTAACATCTTTGTTTATCGTGTTAGCATGCTAACATTAGCTAATTAGCACTAAACAAAGTACAGCTGAGGCTGATTGGAATGATATCAGTTTTGCGGGTATTTAGCCAACCAAAGTATTGAACGAATTTCCAATCCAGTATTTGTTGAGATGTCGAAGCCTGATTAATGTTATTATCCCCACATCCACCAGCATGACTGAAACCGCAGCTATGAAATGTAGTTTTTCGTGCATTTCCTTGCTCTGGTTGGCTGCAGTGAGCCACTTCATTTTTATTTCTCTTTGTCAGAGTCAGTCAGAGCCCTGCGAAGGACACCATCTCCACTGCGGTCCTGACCATTGACAAAGTGTCTTCTCAGGATTTCAACTCTAAATTTGTATGCAGAGGCGTTGGCATGTACACACTGCGGAATGTCACTTTGACTCTGAAGCCGAGAGGTCAGTGTCGGGATCATGGACGAGTAATGACTACATCAGACTTTGGCCTCACAGGCATTACTTGTTCATTGAAATAAGTCATTGACACAAACATTTGTTTTCCAGAGTCGATCATCCCGCTGGTCGTTGGAGGAGTGTGTGTGTTGTTTTTCTGTGTGTTCGCCGCCATGCTGGTCAAGTGCTTCGCCATCGACCTCGCTCTCTTCTTCAGACCCTGCTTCCCACTCAGCCGTTGTGATAAAGGTAAGGAACATCTCTTTGTTTATCGGCAATGCGCCGATATTGCACATTAAAGTCTGTTAACAGGTCTTAGGGAGTACTATCGTAAAGTCTGATAAAGAATCAGGGCTAAGGACTACAAGTTAAAAAAAAATGTACTTGCCGCATGAGGCTAGCGGCTCGAGGCTATTTTAGCACATCCGAGTCCCCAACCAAACTGCAGCATTGTGTGTAATGTAGACTGAAGGTTTGGACAAGGAAGTAGAATGTGTGAAATAAAAAAAAGACGAGAGCTGCATCAATTTTGACAATGTGAAACTCTAAATCTTAGTGCAATGCTCAGTTGATAGAGAACTCCTTTTAATGCACATGAGAGACATGAGAGTGGTGTTGACATGGTCTGTTTGACTCTAAATGGAGCATAATGTACTAAATGAACATCATGCTGTATTGAAGAAGACTTGAAACTAGAGATTGAGACCATAAACTCATGTTTACAATGTTTACTGAGGTAATAAATCAAGAGAGAAGTAGAGTCATGTTCTCATAGACTTCTATACAACCAGAGGAGTCGCCCCCTGGTGGACGCTAGAGAGAATGCAGCTTTAACACATGAAGCATTGACTTCACTTTTCATAACCTGGAAGTTGCCGCCTGTATAGGCAATAAATATGTAATGTGGCAGGAACAGGCTTCTCTAAGGTTGAAAACTGAAAACTAAGAAACGTGTCTGTTTGCATGTTTTCTTGATTTGCAGTGCGTTGAGCTCTCCGGGCCACCGTACTTCTCCTTCTCTGCATAAAAGCAAACATGCAGAGATACCTGCATGTCTGACCTTGTTTCATACTGCATGGAGGGCTGCACAACTTAGAGGATATGTTTGGGAACGTTTGAGGTCCTTTCTTTCTATCAGGAGAATAAATAATGAAGTCAATGAACTTCCCATCACCAGAATGCCCTCTTTTAATCTGACCGCTTTACTCTTCTCTCACATTGGGGACCTCAATTTGCACACTCCGATAGTGAATCATCGTAGTCTGGGTGACCGTGAGTCAGACGGATTGTGTAACCAGGGGAGGAATTATATTTTGAAACAATGAGATCATTTTTTCCTTTGCTGTGTTGACCACCGCCTCACGAGAGCTGGATGGGACACATAAGAATCACAAACAGCTGAAGTTTATTTCAGCCTTTGTGAGACCAGAGTAGTTTCACCGATCGCAGTGTTTTTCCAGGAACTCTTTACCCCACACCCACATTTATAAAAGGCATGGTGACAGTATCATAATGATCAAATAACAACAAATCTTGACAGCTTCCGTGACTTTGTCTGTGTTTGTTAGACGGGAGGATGTTCGACGCCTACGTGGTCTACCAAATGCAGAGCGTGGACAAGGTCACCGAGGACGCGCTCTGTCAGTTTGTCGCTAAGGTCTTGCCCTCCGTCCTCGAGGAGAAGTGCGGATATCGACTCTTCATCCACGGGAGGGACGACATACCCGGAGAAGGTCGTCATTTAATGTGTTTTTATTGTTTTTATAAATTTATTTATGGACACAAATATGGATAAAACCACTGGAAGCTTATACCATTATCCCATAGAGGCTCACTTACTCTGTAGGATTTTGCTTTACTTTTCTTTGCGTCGCTCATATCTCTACATAAATTGTACTTCAAAACAATTTGGAGAAAATAAAAGAAGTAGTGATCACTACTTCTTTTATTTTCTCCAAATTGTTTTGAAGTACAATTTATTTGACACGATGATGTCATTTTATTCTCTCTCTCCTAGCATTTCTGTCTTCTTCTTCTTCTCTTTTTTGAAATTTGCTTTCGATGGTGCTTTTAGTCATTTACACGACTTAAACGGCCAAAAGATGTGATGAAATAATAAGCAGCTAACTCAAAGAGCCGACTTGTTGAACCTCTTTGAGAGGGTCCTTCACACTTCACTGCACCCTGGGCTTCTTTTCAAACATCAGGATTTTGTGTGACCCCACAGACCGTCTGGAGCTGGTGGAGGACCGCATGAAGCAGAGCAGGAGGCTGATGGTCATCCTCACCCCGGATTCAGAGTCAGAGAGCTCAGACCAGCATCCCATCTCACCCCAAAACCCCCTCATAGGAGGGTTTGACTGGCAGGTAGGAGTCTTTGAGCAGGAAGTCATTACATCTGAGTTTGTCTGAGTGTGGCAGTTTTGAACTAAAGTTAAGTTCCCTTTAACACTTTGTACATAAAAGTGATAAATACCGGGGTGGAGTCCTGGGAATCAGACACACAGCCTTTTGCTGACTATCACTTCAACTATCAAATAACATCAAAAAGCCCAAAAAAGGATAATTAAAAAACTGAAATACTGGCTGTTCTCACACACTGTTTGTAGCTATATGTATACAACCAAGAACGCGGTTCTTGTCCCGTGGGAATCCAGAAGTCAACATTCACTCATCTGATTGTGTCTAGCAGTTAACCCACATGTTGTGAAACGCGCTTAAACTCTTGTGGTCAAGATGAAATAACATTAGAGATCATTTAAAAGTATAATCAAACAATTATCCCCGAAAACGAATTGTTGCAACTTCTCCAGGGAGAATATTCATCCAACTAAAACGTCCAGGAGTCAGAACATAAATGTCCTAATCATTTTCCAGGTGGGGCTCCACCACGTGTTGCTGCAGAGAGAGATGAGTGTGATTCTGATCCAGCTGGGGGACGAGAGCCCACAAGGATACGCACACCTTCCCGCCGGCCTGCAGCACCTGATTCTCAAGAGCACCCCCATCAGGTGGTACGAGGACTCGCGGGGCGCCGCCGCCTGGAACTCACGCTTCTGGAAGAGAGTGAGATACCTGATGCCGGCCACACCTGCTAAACAACGTCCACAGTCGGCTATTATTTGAAGCCCTGGTGGATTTACTCTGACTTTTTCTGGAATGACAGATATGTAGCATGTACAATAAAAAGGGTCCAGACGCTCCAGTTACTTTTTAAATTATGCTAATATAGTCATTTATTTACTCTTGGTTAAAGAAAGTGTAAGAAAATATAAAATAATCCTAACTAATGGAAGAAGTATGTGTCTGCTCCATCAAACATCTGGCAAAAGAGATTTTCTTTTAAAGATATATAAGCAGGGCTGTAATAGGTCACCTGTTGGTATCATTCATTTCATGACCGCTGATCCCAGGACCTTTAGAGATGCAGACCTTTAGAGATGCAGGACCTTTAGAGATGCAGACCTTTAGAGATGCAGACCTTTAGAGATGCAGGACCTTTAGAGATGCAGACCTTTAGAGATGCAGACCTTTAGAGATACAGGACCTACRGAGATGCAGGACCATTAGAGATGCAGACCTTTAGAGATGCAGACCTTTAGAGGTGCAGACCTTTAGAGATGCAGACCTTTAGAGATGCAGGACGTTTAGAGATGCAGGACCTTTAGAGATGCAGACCTTTAGAGATGCAGGACCTTTAGAGATGCAGACCTTTAGAGATGCAGACCTTTAGAGGTGCAGACCTTTAGAGGTGCAGACCTTTAGAGATGCAGGACCTTTAGAGGTGCAGACCTTTAGAGGTGCAGACCTTTAGAGATGCAGACCTTTAGAGGTGCAGACCTTTAGAGATGCAGGACCTTTAGAGATGCAGGACCTTTAGAGATGCAGACCTTTAGAGGTGCAGACATTTAGAGGTGCAGACCTTTAGAGGTGCAGACCTTTAGAGATGCAGGACCTTTAGAGATGCAGACCTTTAGAGATGCAGGACCTTTAGAGATGCAGACCTTTAGAGATGCAGGACCTTTAGAGATGCAGGACCTTTAGAGATGCAGACCTTTAGAGATGCAGACCTTTAGAAATGCAGGACCTTTAGAGATGCAGACCTTTAGAGATGCAGACCTTTAGAGATGCAGACCTTTAGAGATACAGGACCTACAGAGATGCAGGACCATTAGAGATGCAGACCTTTAGAGGTGCAGACCTTTAGAGATGCAGACCTTTAGAGATGCAGGACCTTTAGAGATGCAGACCTTTAGAGATGCAGACCTTTAGAGATACAGGACCTACAGAGATGCAGGACCATTAGAGATGCAGACCTTTAGAGATGCAGACCTTTAGAGGTGCAGACCTTTAGAGATGCAGACCTTTAGAGATGCAGGACGTTTAGAGATGCAGGACCTTTAGAGATGCAGACCTTTAGAGATGCAGGACCTTTAGAGATGCAGACCTTTAGAGATGCAGACCTTTAGAGGTGCAGACCTTTAGAGGTGCAGACCTTTAGAGATGCAGGACCTTTAGAGGTGCAGACCTTTAGAGGTGCAGACCTTTAGAGATGCAGACCTTTAGAGGTGCAGACCTTTAGAGATGCAGGACCTTTAGAGATGCAGGACCTTTAGAGATGCAGACCTTTAGAGGTGCAGACATTTAGAGGTGCAGACCTTTAGAGGTGCAGACCTTTAGAGATGCAGGACCTTTAGAGATGCAGACCTTTAGAGATGCAGGACCTTTAGAGATGCAGACCTTTAGAGATGCAGGACCTTTAGAGATGCAGGACCTTTAGAGATGCAGACCTTTAGAGATGCAGGACCTTTAGAGATGCAGACCTTTAGAGATGCAGGACCTTTAGAGATGCAGACCTTTAGAGATGCAGGACCTTTAGAGATGCAGGACCTTTAGAGATGCAGACCTTTAGAGATGCAGACCTTTAGAGATGCAGGACCTTTAGAGATGCAGGACCTTTAGAGATGCAGACCTTTAGAGATGCAGACCTTTAGAGATGCAGGACCTTTAGAGATGCAGGACCGGTAGAGATGCAGGACCTTTAGAGATGCAGGACCGGTAGAGATGCAGGACCGGTAGAGATGCAGGACCTTTAGAGATGCAGGACCGGTAGAGATGCAGGACCTGTGACTGAATGTAGACTTTATTTATATTCTGTTACCGTTCGTGTGATTGTATTTACTGTTTTATTTTGAAATATGTTTGTCAGTAGGTGCAGCATCTGTCAGTTAGAGGCTCATTTACTTCCTGTATAATTGATAAAGACGCAGCTGTTGAACATTTCTTTTTTATTTATATCTGTTGTAAAGTTTTGGATTTGTCAATATGAAAATAAAGAATTATAATTTTAAAAAATGCCACAAATATGTTACTGAAGGTTAATTGTGTGTCGTCCGTATTTTTATTGTAATATGATGTAGAGAAGTCTCTGTATAGCAGTTGTTACTCATTAAAAGTATAATTTACTTTTTGGGGAATAAACTCAAATCTATTATTACTGAAGCATTTGCTGAACATAACTGTTGTTGCAGCGTTTATCCAGTAGAGGGAGACATTTATTTTCCTCATAAGAAAGGTGTTTTAATTTGAAACAGTGGTCATGTGACGGAGCATTTGTTAAACTATTAATATCTTTGTATCCACGCCCAGAGGATAAGTGAGTCATAGATCAGTTATAACATGTGCATTAGATCTCACTTTAAACACACAATCTTCACTGCAAATAATAACAATGAGATAAAATAAAATAAGATAAGATGAAATAAGTTAAAATGAGATAAAACAAAATAAGGACAGTGTGACAACAAGTATCAGTACAAAACCAAATAGATATGATAAGTAATCAAACAGTAAATATACAATAGATAAGTAAACCATCAAACTAAAAATATATATAACATATAACACATACATAATATATATATATATAAGATAGAAATGGACAGTTCACATTAAACATATTAAATATTGATATTGCTCAGTGGTATACATAGAACCGATTTACCCAGTTATTCATTTCTCCAAATGAGTTTTGCAAATTGATTGATTATTATTATCTGAATCATAATGCTGGATACAATACGACAGAAGCAACAACAACAACAAGTCTAAAGTGTAAAGATACAGAAGGTGTTACTGTTCAACACATTAACATGGACACGTGATCCAGCAGCGCGAGGACTCACAGGAGAGATGAGAGACTGTGCGCAGCGCGGAGTGATACGGCTCGTGTCCGCTGGGTGGAGACAGACAGACAACATGGAGACATTCACACACACACACACACACACGCACACACACGCTGCCGGCAGCTGATTCCACGTTAACCTGGAGTCTGACGGAGTGTTGGTGTGTGATGGAGGCTCAGTGCAGGACGGAGTGGATCACTTCACAGTAAGTGGTGACGTCTCACTCCTCTTTCTTCTTCTTATTTCAGACCTGATTCCATGTCATACTAGTGTAGGTCCACTTAAAAAACGCCTCTTTGTTTCTGAAGGATTTCCTACAAAGGAAGGAAAAACCAGAATAAAGTAAACTGTAGTAAAACTTGTAACAAATACATGCTTGCAGATTTAAATAATACCACAAAAGGAGTATTGTAGACAATATTAATGTATTAAAAAACACATTAATACATGTATTTACTATTTACCACTTTTACTATTTGAACACAAATGCTATTTAAAATGTGCGGTTAAGTAAAAATGAACTTACTAAAATATATAATAAGTAGGGATTTTGCTGTACGAGACAAATTAAAAGCTTTTTCTGTTTTTATACAATATAATTATTGAAATTGTTGAATGAGACGACTCTTAGTGAACTCTTAGTTCTCTCTGCTTATATGCAAAGTGGATGTCTTGACTGTTAAAACAAAACAAACTGCATGTTATTGTATCATAGGTGTCAGCTGAGAGTAGGAAGCAAACACAGGCGTGTCACAGTGTAATAACACACTGTAATAGCACACTGTAATAACACACTGTAATAACACACTGCATGGTAGTAAACCCGTGTTGAGCTCACCTTTGTCACCTTTTTGTTTTAAATCATTGCTTCTTCAATGTTCAGACGGAAACCTTGGTGACGTCTGTGGTTTATTTAAAAAAATCTCTGATGTTGGAACATTTTGTGCAAAATGAACTTCTGGTGAAGTTTTTGCAGCAGATTTTTATTTGTAAAGACTAAATTCTTTATGTAAGAAGTTTTTCTGATAAATGTTTCTCCGGTTCTGTCGAGTGAAGCCGAAGCTTCATGTGTTAAAGCTGCATTCTCTCTACTGTCCATCAGGGGGCGACTCATTTATATTACAACGCTAATAACAAACGTCTGAAGTGTACTGCTGCAGACTTTTACTTATTTTAGGGCTGCAACTAACGATTAACTCCATCGCCGATTATTTGCTCAATTAACCGATTAGTTGTTTGGTTTATAGAAAATGGGGACAAATGTCCCAAAATGACGTCTCCAAATGTTTTGTTTTGTCCACAACTCAAAGATATAAGATATATAGCAAAGAAAGCAGAAAATATTCACATTTTAAGAAGCTGGAATCAGAGACTTTTTACCTTTTTTCAGCAAAAGAAAATTACTCAAATGTATTAATCGATTATTAAAGTTAAATTTTATAGATGACAACTAATTGATTCATGAATTAATCTTTGCAGCGTTAGTATAGTTGAGTATGTTTGTATTGTATCATCGCCACTTTGACAGAAGTGAAAGATCTCAGGTAGCGTCTAACGTGTAACATTCTTTATTTCCTGCACCTTTACCCCAACAGGCTGCTAAACCTTCGTGTTCCTTTAAATAGTTTTAAATCATCAGAATGCTGTTAAAGATGTGACGTTAGTCTGAACTCTGCATACGTCCCCATGTGGCCTTTTACCCCCATCGCCTGCTGCAGCCAGCTCTAGACGTCACTGTGTGTGTGTGTGTGTGTGTGTGTGTGTGTGTGTGTGTGTGTGTGTGCGTGTGTGTGTGTGTGTGTGTGTGTGTGTGTGTGTGTGTGTGTGTGTGTGTGTGTGTGTGTCTGTGTGTGTGTGTGTGTGTGTGTGTGTGTGTGTGTGTGTGTGTGTGTGTGTGTGTGTGTGTGTGTGTGTGTGTGTGTGTGTGTGTATGTGTGTGTGTGTGTGTGTGT